AGAAGTCAGTTCGGTGGAAGGGATGGAGAAGATAAATGGTAACAGATCCGCGAGTTTAGTAGTGATTTCAGAGAACATGGCACAGCCCTTAAAATAAAATTAATCTTAATGCTGCCTAATTTAAAAATAAATATGCCATAAGCCATCACCATTCAAGCTTCATTTGGCAATCTTCTGCAAAGTCTGGAAGCCCGGATGACTAAGAGCATAGTACCATGTTCATTAAAAGCTTAACATAAGAATGGTATTTATAGACTGATTTATAATTGTCAAAGCACTCTTCACATATATTCTCTGATCTGATGCTCACAGCAACCCAGGAAGTCAGACCGTATTGTCTTTCATCCATTTTTAGGAAACTAAGTCTTGTAGAGCTTTAAGTGACTTGCTCAAGACCACTAGCTGATACGCCAAGCCAAAATTCCACCGCTTTATCATTTCCAAACTTGACTCTCCATGAGCAGCAAACCAAAGAGGGGCAAGTGTGGGGAGAAAAATAGAAGCTCTAGTGGTACCTGGAAGCACATTGGAAGATTTTGGGGGTGGAGAAACTTGCAAGAAAGCACAGCCCTTTTAACAGTGCTGGAACAAAGCGAAGGTGGGCAAAACCCCACACTTGTCACCGAGGCATTCAGCTGCAGGCACTCAACGGGAAGAAAATGCTGGGCTGGTACAGATGGGCCCCTTGGATACTCTGCTCTGTAATTAACATGATCTTAACATGGAAGACGGCATCTCTTCCCCTTCTTTGAGCTTGGGGCCGTTGTGTCATCTTGGATGTTCTGGCTACTGTTGTTGCTATGACTACAGAGGTGTCATGGATGCCTTCACTGTAGCTTTAGGAATCCCTGAGGAGATCGTGCTGAAAGTTCTTAGTGTCAGATGGCTCAAGGGAGATTCTTGTAATGGTTCCGCTATTGGCAAGGCATTACGAGGCTCTCAGGACACTGCAGCAAGACGTTTTATTAGCACTCCTGAGATTCCGGTCCCTTGGGAGTACACAGCTGAAACCGGATATCTTAAAGGGATCTTCCTGAAAATGGGTGGGCGATCTAGTCAGTCACTTGATCCATGAGGCAGGTGACCCAGACAAAAGTGACTACTACTGGCATGCCTACATCTGACTATGCAGTAGGATCACCCAGAGAGCTTTTGCTATCCTGGCGCCTAAGTGATAACTTACTCAAATTAAATTACAGTGTCTAGGGTAAGAGCCAGATAGCAATATTTTTGAAAGACCCCAGCCGATTCCAGTGTGCAGCAAATTTTGCAATCCATGGCTTTATGATTTGTCTAACATCACACAAGTGGGGACAAGAACCTACCATGTTTCAACTCCATTGTCTTGACCCCAATTGGACCCTTAAAAATGAAGGTTAAGTAGATACAGCATTACTCATGACTACCCTTCCAGGTAAATATGTTTATCCCGGTTCACTGATGGAGAACCTAAGTGTGTTTTCATTTGGCCTGTGAGCCCTCCTTAAATGTGGAAGGATACACTCCAGTGGTGCTCACCCCAGGTGTCAAACAATCAGTGACATACACTGAAATGTTTGTAAAGGGCCTAGTCTGTGCCAGCCCTTGTCCTGGGCTGTGGGGATAAATGGTGAACAAGGAACATAAGGCTTTGCTCTACCAGAGCTTGTAAGCTTGATGAAGGACCCAAAGACCTATTTCAGCAATTCCAACTCTTTAGGGTTCAGGCTGAGATGGGAACTTCTTTTACTTATTTCTAGCTGGGCCTTGTTTCTTCAGGAGGATTTGTGGCAGCAAAAACATGCATAATGAAGTTGTTAGGATATAAATAAGAAACAGAAATCAAGACTAGGGAAAATATAAATAAGAATGGAGAGTCAAGAACAGAAGAAGAAAAATTCATAGTTATGCAAGTCATAAGGATCCGCTTGGGCTGAACCTCAAATTTGGCATTAAGTCTTCTGGCAGCCATGTTGAAAAGGGAACTATGGTGAGTTATTATTGTCAGAAAGACAAAAAAATACCAGTTCCTCAGGGAAGGAAAGGCTTTCCCAACACTTGGCTCTTGAGGAAATGTCTCGTGTGGAATTTTATACAATCTCCAAGAATATTCCTAGAGTGACTGCAAAAATGAGTTTTATGAGGCAGGACCCTGTAGACTCTTGCAAGGAAAGAGAGGATGAGAAATGAAAATGAATTTAATAAATCCATTTTTGTCATGAGTAGTCAGTCAGAAGTAAGTTGATTCAAGTCAAAACACATTAGATAAATCTATGGCTAGAATACCTGTGGAAATGCACAGATTAGACACCCTTCATACTTTTTCTGTCTTGGGATTTTGATAAGGCACATAGATAAAACATTTTCAGGGGTAGAACTGAAGTGTAAGTTTTTCGCTTTGTAGATAATGTAGTGGTTTATATCAGGGGTTAGCAAACATTTTCTATAAAAGACGGTAAATATTTTAGCCCCTATGGACCAGACAGTCTCTGTTCTAACGAATCAGCTCTGCAGTTATAACACAAAAGCAGCCCTAGAGAATACAAAAGGACTGGATGTGTTCCAATGAAACCTGATTTATACAACTAGGTGGCCCGTCCAATTTGGCTGACAACCTATATTGCCAACCCCTGGTTTAAACTGCAAATTTAAAAAAGCAAAATGTATGATGGGTATGCTTTAGTTGGAATCACGGAACATTTAGAAACTTGGCAAGTCTTGTTTAGTGGTGACTCTGGCCTCGTAATTTAACTGAAAGTAGGTGGTGATGCATACTGGAGAGGACATGGCTTGTGTTCAGAATGTACATTCATTAAGTTCGCTGAAAGAACATGGAGATACCCAAGCACGCCAGGGCAGCTTCCCACATCAAAGTGACACTTGGCAGACAGGGATCTGGGGTTACTGCAGCCCAGAACTGGGCTGAGTCTAGAACTTCTGTCCTGCCATGTGGAGGAGGAGAACGGTGGTGATGTTCCCCACTTGGAGGTCTCACAAGGCAACAGGGGTTCTCTGGCGAGATCTCATGGCTGTGTCCTTAGGAAAGAGAGAAGGCTGGGCAGTCAGCAGTACCTCATGCACACCTTTGCCATCGTTTCAAACGCAAAATCTACTCCAGGCTAGCAGGTGTAGATTTTAACCAGCCTTCTGGAAGAACAGCCAAAGATAGGGCGACCCACAAGAAAAAAAAAGTAACATCATTTCACTGTATAAAAGCTTTGTTGTGAGTTGATAATACATGTTGATGGTTTGTTATGGCCTGAGTTTCTGAATACCTCCCACTGGCTGTATAAGACTCTGGGGTTATTAATGAATTATTCGTTAATTACATTAATGGTGTCATGGGAGCTACAGGAAAGGATTGAATTTGGGTGGTCATCAGAAGAGGGGGCCTCAATGGTTTGGAATCTATAAAAACAGGGGACTTAGGGCTGCGATCTTAAATATTGCTTTAACCAACTTAGGCATAACCCATAGTCCTGAGCGACTAGTTGTCTACTCATGTGTCCCATATATGGTGACAAGGGGAGTGCAAGCTTATAAAGAAATGACAGCTTCAAAGGAGTCTGTAGAAACATGACCATGGATGCAGTCATGGAACCTTTGGGGCCTCGTTGTCTGAACATAATTTGGTCTAGAACACTTACTAGGTAGTAGGGAATTGGGGCATGTACTCCATTTGGAATGACCTAACTATTCACTCCTCCGGCTGAAGGTGGTTAGGAAGATGGTTGCCCCTCCTTATACTATGGTTGCGGTGACTAGTCCAGGCTTATGGAGTGCAAGGATGGTGTCTTTCTCTTCATAAGAGAAAGTCCCTAGGACTTTCATAAGTCCCTAGGACTTAGCCCAAGACCGGGTACCCAGGAGCTACTCTAGAATGTTTGCCCAGTGAATGAATCCTGGTTAGTATCACCCTTTTTGCAAAGCTAGTATCAGAGAGAGATGAGTTGCCAGAAAGGGAGCTGGCTCCTTTTTGTCACACGCATCGTGGCAAACAGTGAATCGCTACAAATGAGGCTAAGGCTGTTGTTTGGGGACAGGAACAAAATGTGCCAACAAAACTTAAAAAGCAGAAAACCATGCAGATGGAATCATAGTGGTCCCCACCCTCCCTCTGACGCCAGCAGATATGGGGGTAGGGTCAGGGATTGGCAGTTGAATTTATATGTCAGGTATATTTTTAATCATAGCTTATTCTTAACAACCATGATTTAAGGCCAGATGCGTTTCAAGGGCCAATTTCTTAGGGAAAATGTCTGATGTCCAAGTTGCCTGAGACTTCTCCTTTTTCAGAAATAACAAGCAGCCAGACTAATTATTTTGTTTCCTCTTCTTCTATCCTCTGGCCCTTGCCGATATGCTTATTTATAACAAGGGCTTTATCAGTTGTCTTAAGAAAACAAATGTCCTTCAACAAATGTTCCAATATGATCTTCCGGTCCTATTTTTCAAATATCCCTGCACTAATGAAAACAGGGGCATGGAAAATGGAAGCATTCTGAGCCAAAAGCAAATTAATAGTGCTTCAGCTCTGCCCCCCATGCCATCCTTGTAGCCAGGTCAGAGAGTAAGAAGGAAGGACAGAGCCAGGGAGAAGAGTTTGTGCTCAGGAACCACGGGATCCAGCTGAGGCTCCAGACCTGACCACGTCACTGTAGGCTTCGGGTGCTACCAAGGGAGAAATCGAAAGAGATGAACTTAAAGCAAAGCCTAGTAGCACGCGGGGTGGGCTTAACACAGGCAGTTTGCTTTACTGTAATAGACAAATTGCCTCTTCCCACTGCATCCAGCAGTTTCTAAGGGACGAACTTTGGGCCCAGGGACATTTATTAAATATCACCCCCTCCTTGTCCCTCTGCCACTTTCTGGCTCCCACAACTCCCGACCAAAGGAACTCAAACATCTGTTCATAGTTATGCCCCTAAGTCTCCCCCAGCATTAACCACATGTAGGTATTAATTGTTTCTACCTGTGTCTCCCATGATTCACTGATCCCTTCTGGCTGTTCTTGGTCTCAGGGCCTGAGGATCATCTTCTCAGATGCGTCTCGGCTCATCTTCCGGCTCAGTTCCTCTAGTGGCATGAGGGCCACCATCAGACTGTATGCGGAGAGCTACGAGAGGGACCCCAGCGGTCACGACCAGGAGCCCCAGGTACCCTCAGCACCGTGTGTCTCATCACTCCTGGAAAATTTAGGGAGCTCTTTGGGGGCTTTTAGTCTGGGTGATTTTACTTTCTAGATGGATAGATCCCGCCGAAGGACAAGCTGACAGTAAGTAACTCCAGGCAAATTCCAGTCGTTCATGACAGTGTTTGGAACAGAAAATTGGGGCTTTAGTCTCTGATGAGTTTAGACCAGCATTTCTCAGATGCCTTGCCTTTCTTGATTGCTCTGCAGTCTGTTAAATTGGGATGACATCAAGAAACACTATGTTGTGTAGAGAAATCTTTAGTTAGAGTCAAGCCAGTCCAACTCCTCAGAGCCTTGACTCTGCGTGCGTAAATAATGAATTTCCAGGTGTGTGGCCAACTCTTGGGTGGATTGTGACCTTGAGGTGCGGGTGTGGATGTCTCCTGTCTGAGATCGCTGCAGAGCGCAGTTTCTCTTAAGAAGAGGGGCGAGGGCTGGTCTGCATTTAAAGTTAAGGGGGGCTAAGCTAGACGAGCCAAGGCTGGGCCACCCTGTGTTTGGCAAAGCCCCTTCATGTTGTCAACAGCAGAGCTAATGAAGAACTCAGAAAAAATCATAAATAGCCCAACCGTAAGCATCTCCACTCTTACATTCATTGAAGCTGCAGGCAACCTTAATTAATAGCAGAAAGGACCTACCACAACATTGGATACTTCCAGCTACACTGCTCGCTGTCCCTTACCCCCTTGGTCTTTACGCCACTCTGGGTATGGAAGCAGAGTCCTGGATGAGCTCTTTCCTTGAGATGAAACCACTGGTTTCTGCAACACTTCCTTCGTGGAGAAGTAGAGAAGCAAAGAAGATCTCACTACTTTTCATTTTAGAGTTACTCCAAATTTCCGATGATCATTTGCCTAAGTTATGCCCTAAAATGAGACCAGAAAGGGTTTTCTTTCTTCGTTAGTGGTTTAGTGTGTTTTTCTTAAAATGGTATCTTTCTTGGGAGAGTCTCAAAGAACTTGAGAGATATGGTGCCATAGATCCCCGCAGCTCACAACGGAACCAGATCTGTTTGGGGGCAGATCATCTCAGATGGGGAAGGAGGGGCCCTGGAGGCTGAGAGCTGAGAGTATGAAGCTAATATAAGGCCCCGGGCATTCCCTGTCAGGGTCACAGGCTTTTCATGCAAGGACGGCCCACGCCCTGCCAACATAATTTGTCTGTGAGTATATTTCACCCAAGATAGTACCAAATCATGCAAGAATTGGAGACTTACCCTCTCTTTCCATATAAACCCCTTCTACTTCTCATGTTGGGAAAAGAGATTAAAACAAGGACCTAAAAATCCAGAGCCACATACAGGGTGAGGAATGACATTCCTGGCCTCACCAACTCTGACTCACTCTGACTCAAGGCTATTTTTTCTCAACATTCTTTTCCCTGTTTGCACAGGCTAACTCGTTACAACATTTGCTTATTTGTATTTACCTTCCGCACTGACTGCAGGAGTGTGACGCCTAGGCCTTTAGACATGTGCAGAAACAATCCTGTGCCCAAGTGAGTCTCTCTCTGAGATGTTCCACCAAAGCCAAGGGGCACCATATTTTTTTCCCCCCAGCGCTTCCTTTGATGCTGAAACCTCCATAGGCCTGCTGCTAGAGGGCTGTGTGTGAAGTACACGCTTCAGTCTGTGGGTAAAGAAAACATAATAATGCTTGAGTCCGTGGCCAGTACTGTTTCTTTTCCATGTCGTTGGTTCCCAGAGTTTGCCATTTTGAATGGTTGGAGACTCCTTTTGTTGATGTTGTTCTTCTGATCAATAATCTCTCTTCTCTTTTTAATCCTGAGTCAGGGTCTTCCCAAACCTGGCTGGGGGGGGGGGGGCTCACCATATTTAGCTCAGGATCCAGCCCAAAATTTCACCTTGAAATAGAACTCCTTATTAAAATACCTGATATCATTGGCTCGCCGACGGAAGCCCTATTCCATAACACATGCAAGTCAGGGGGTAGTTTAGAATAAGGGTTGAAAAGACATGGACACCCGTAAGGAAGAGGAAGATTCTGAGCGGACTCACCGTCCCAACCTGCTGAACCACATCCAGGCTCTTAAGTTTGTTTGAGGCCTCCTGACAGTGTTGCCTCTGAGGACCCCAGTTTCTGCCTTTGAGGAGCTCTGGAAGGAAATGCCTTTGGTCAGCCGTTAACAGAGATCCCAGATAAGGCATGCTCCTCAGGTTATTACTGATCTGCGGCCTGATGGGCAAAGACCAGCTGTCCTGCTTCCTCTGCTGAAGACACCTCCTGCCGCATTCCAGCTAGTTCCGATTTGCAGCCCAGGAAAAGAAACAGATACCGCCCCCGCCAATGCTCAGACCCCCAGTAAAATGCCTCTCGAATGTCTAGGGATTCCATGGATCAACTTTTCCAGTTCAACAGGTACTCGTGTTTTACCTGCCTTAACTCAGTACCCACCTATATTCCGATTAATAGTGAAAGGACTAGAGAGTTATCTTCCACTGGCTTCCCCGCATCTGGTTATTGTACTTTGCACGGATAGTTTCTTGTCCATACATCTTTGTTAAAGTTGTTATTTCCCGTTAGTTAGCACAGTGTGGTATTAGTTTCAGGTGTACAATGTAGTGATTAGCCAATCCATGCGACTCATCACAAGTGTCCTCCTTCATCCCCATCGCCCATTTCCCCCATCCCCCTACCTTCTGGTAACCCAGCAATCTGTCTTTATAGTTAAAAGTCTGTTTCTTGGTTTGCCTCTCTCTCTCTCTCTCTCTCTCTCTCTTTTTTTTTTTGGTACCTTTGCTGCTTTGTTTTGTTTCTTAAATTTTACATATGAGTGAAACCATATGATATTTGTCTTTCTCTGACTGACTTAATTCATTTAGCATGGTACTCTCTAGCTCCATATGTGCCATTGCCAATGGCACGATTTCATTTTTTTTATGGCTGAATAATATTCCTGTGTGTGTGTGTGTACCACATCTTCTTTATCCACTCATCAATCAATGGACACTTCAGTCCAGACATTTTAAACACATGGAAACAGAACGTGTTTTAAACATTAATACTGTGGTTGCCTCAAAAAAGCATCTGTAACCATCCCAGGGATGTAGCTAGGAAAATCTGTGGTGTAGCCTGTATGCTCAAGAGTCCCTTCTCCTGCCTGTAGATTTATTTGGGTACATTTTCACAACAGTTACTATGGTATTTATTTTAAGTGATTTAAAATAATTTTATTACCTCAAAAAATATTTTTAAAGAATTCTATCCACCTACCTCTAGGAATGGGTGGTGAGGGGAGGAAGAAGATGAGGGGAACTGGGGGAAAGGACAAGGTGCTTACCTTGCCCTTGCTCTGTGTCCTTGGTTAATCAGGAAGGAAAGCCTCCAAGGCCTATTTCTGGAAGATCACATAGTTTTGAAAATGCAAGGGTAATTTTACCAGCAATCAGTAGGCTTTCAATAAGACGTCAAACCAGCTGGTAATAATTTGGAAAAAGGGATGAGCCAAGAGGATCTAAGTTCACAGGTGACCAGAAACAGCCGCATTATTTTCCACTTTCTTTCCCACCAAGCTTATTAGTGGGAGTGCTCAATTAACTTTTTATTTACCTTTTCTCTTTTTCCCTTTGAACCTGAGGGTGGAGTAGCTCCACGAACAATAAAAATCCAAAGGGAAAAGGAAGGAAAAGTTTTTTTTAAGGGCTGGATAATCACATCCTGATAATCAGCTTGTGGGTCATCAACAGTTGACCGTACCCTATCCCACCCCAAGTTTTGGTTTGAGACCAGTTTTCCCCAACCCTCCTTACAGTTGACGGGAATTGATGTATTTCTGATACGCTGTATATAGACTAGTTTAAGGACCAGTATCTAAACACCAGGAGTCATATAAGGAATTCATCTGTCCAACCAAGAGCTGGCGGCCATTTTGTTCTACTTGTTCTTACAAGGACTTTATCATCCAAAAATGTTAAGTACAGAGCCATTTTGTGTTATATTGGGAGAACATAATTTCTCATCTAAACCCGGATACACTTGAGAGTGAAAGGAGGCACTAATAATTATGTTGAAACTGCCCCCAATAAATTAGAACATTGGGTTATTCTAATTACATACCTTCATGCTACCCTAGATCTGGCTGTCTCTTAGAGATGGGCTTCTGAGGACACTTCCCCTTAAGCCTAGTAGTGCAGAGGAAATGTTCCAGGAACGAAGAGTTGGATCTGGGATTCTAACCCAGGCTACACACCAGGACCACTTGGGAACTTTGGTAAAGATGCGTGGGCCTCATTCCCAGAGATTCTACCTTAATTTTTCTAGGGTGGGGACTGCATTTTTGAACAGTTCCCCAAATGGTTCAAATTAGGTGAGTGCTCTCAAACTTTAGTGTATATTTAAGTCATCTGGGTATCTTGCTAAAAATGCAGATTCGGACTTGAACTGAGAAAGGCCACAAAGTCTGCATTTCTGCACCTAGGCAATATTGTGCTGCTGGTCCAGGAGCCACACTTTTAATAATAAACAGATGAACTCCTAAGCCCTATAGACAAATCATTGAATTTTTTAACATTGTAAGAAGAGCAACACCTGTTTTTAGTGCCCTTGTGTGCATGGGCCCCTATCCTTGGGATTTCTCTCTCAGGTAGCCCACCCAACTTGACTTAAGCAATAGTGACCTCCAACAGCACACTCTACCAATGTGACCTTCAAAGCACAACCAGAGTCTGGCCCTCCCTTGCCACCTCTACCATTTCTATCCAGGGCCAGGCTAGTGTTCTGGCCTCTAGATTATTGCATCCCTCTCCCACCTGGTCTCCCTCCTTCCACCCTTGCCTAGTCCCCACCCACACCCTAGTCTTAGCACAGCAACCAGAATGATTAAAAAAAAAAAAATAGATCCCCTCATTGCTCTGCAAAAATCCTTTAGTGGTGCCCCATCTCACTCAGAAAAGAACCAGAATCCTTACCATGGTCTCAGAACATCTCCTGGAAATGGCCCCCT